AAGGTCTTTAATAAAAAGATCTTTTCTTTTACAAGGTTCTTTTATATCCACCTACATTTCTGCTGTGCTAAAACATTAACTTTTAGGGCAACACTTTGTTTTGCTAGAGAGCAATGCAATATAATGGTTAAAATGTTGGACTAAGACTGGGGAAACTTGTCTTCAAGTCTCCTCTTGGCCATGGAAATTCACTAGATGATTATGGGCCAGACTCTCTCTCTCTCCCTCTCTTGGCCCGACCCATCTCACAAAAATTATTGGAATTTCTCCATCCGATGTAAAACTCATATTGCACTGTTTAATGTCATGAATTATTAGATATCAACTCATTATTTTAAAAAAGATCTTAAGTTCTAAAGTGATCTGAGGGGTCTTTTAATATGTAGAACTAATGTTACTTTGACATTTTTATTTAATATTATTACAACTGCAATTCATAACCCTTTCGATTTCCTTTTTTCTTCTGTTTTTCTTCTTGGTTTTTAAATAATTAACAAAATATGATATTTGGGTGAAATAAATATGAAATGAGAGAGTGCTGTGTATGCTGTCCTGAACTCCTGAATGAAAGATGGGATAAGAATCTAAATAATAGTACACAACACTTGAGCCTAAAAAGCAATAATAAATGTTGCAGAATAAAGAATAACAGAGTTGGAAAGGACATCGGGGGTCTTCTAGTCCAACCCTCCATGCTTAAGCAGGAGACCCTATACCTTTCTGAACCAATGACTATCCAGTTTCTTCTTAAAAGCCTCCAGTGATTGAGGACCCACACCTCTTGAAGGCAAGTTGTTCCACTGGTTAATTGTTCTAACTGTCCAGAAATTTCTCCTTAGTTCTAGGTTGCTTTTCTCCTTGATTAGTTTCCACCCATTGCTTCTCGTCCTGCCCTGGATTCACACAATTCAGGTGCTTAGCAATCAGCATGTATGGTATAAATACAGAATAGAATAGAATAGAATAGAATAGAATAGAATAGAATAGAATAGAATAGAATAGGAGGAGAGGAGAGAGAGGAGAGGAGAGGAGAGAAGAGAAGAGAAGAGAAGAGAAGAGAAGAGAAGAGAAGAGAGAATAGACTAGACTAGTCTAGACTTGACACGACTCGACTCGACTCGAGCTGTAAGGGACCTTGGAGGTCTTCTAGTCCAGCCCCCTGCTCAAGCAGGAGAACCGATACTATTTCAGATAAATGACTGTCTAATCTCTTCTTAAAAACCCCCAATGATGGAGCACCCAAAATTTCCGAAGGGAAGCTGTTCCACTGGTTAATTGTCCTCATTGTTAGGAAGTTTCTCCTTAATTCCAGGTTGCTTCTCTCTTTGATTAGTTTCCAATCATTGTTTCTTCTCCTGCCCTTTGGTGCTTAGAATAATTTGACCCCCCTCTTCTTTGTGGGAGCCCCTCAAATACTGGAATATGGCTATCATGTCGCCCCCTAATTCTTCCTTTTCTTTAGACTCACCAAACCCAAATCCTGCAGCCATTTTTCATATGGTTTAGTCTTCAGGCCTTTGATCGTCTTAGTTGCTCTTCTCTGAACTTTTTCCAAAAATTTATAAATATATAAATGGTATATAGGGCCTCCTGCTTAAGCAGCAGGTTGGACTAGAAGATCTCCAAGGTACCTTCCAGCTCCATTCTGGTTCTGATTGATCTATTTACAACAGTTGCAGTGTCTCATGTCATGTGATGGCTATTTGCAACCTTCCCAGTTGAGTAAGCAAAGTCATTGGGGGAAGACAGCTGTGCTTAACGACCATATAATTCACTTATTGCAGTGATTCCTTTAACCACCGTGGTTAAAAAAAAAAGTCATAAAATCGGGTGCGTCTCATTTAACAACCACCTTGCTTAACAATGGAAATTCTGGTCCCAAATTGTGGTTGTAAGTCGAGAATTATCTACGTGCAGAACATCTGTCTCAAGGCTACGGATTTGGGATAGGAAAGCAGAAAAGCATAAGGGACTCAAACTAAAACCAGATGTTGCATACAAGGCAAGTTCCTGGACATGTGTTGACTTTCTGAACTGGCTTATTTCTGGAAGAGAGAGAGAAGGTCTTTTCAAAGAAAAAGAAGAAGATGGCGTAGCCAATTAGGACAACAGAGAAAGGCAATCAGAAGCACACTTAGAGGACTGCAATTCCAACATAATTCTGATTTTTGAGAGGGTAAAATCTTCTGTGAAAGCAGCAAGTTAGTGGGCTATAAAAACAGATCTGCAGACTAGAGCAACGACATCTCCTTATTAGTAGAAAAGCCATAGTGGCACAGTGGTTAGAATGCAGCATTGCAGGCTAACTCTTGCCCACTGCCAGCAGTTCGATCCTGAGAGGGCTCAAGGTTGACTCAGCCTTCCATCCTTCCGAGGTCAGTAAGGTAAGGACCCAGATTGTTGGGGGCAATAGGCTGACTCTGTAAACGGCTCAGAAAGAGCTATAAAAGCACTGTGAAGTGGTATTTATGTCTAGGTGCTATTGCTATTATAGTAACTTCATCATTATTGAGCCCTGATGGCGCAGTGGTTAAAATGCAGTATTGCAGGGTAAGTTGAAATTAAGAAAAAATTCCGATAACGGAAAGCTGTAATATAGTGTAATTGTGATTTTAAAGGTTAAAAATGTTGAATAAAAGTATATATATATATTTTTAAAAATGCAGTATTGCAGGCTAACTCTGCCCACAGCCTTGAGTTCAACCCTGACAGGGCTCAAGGTTGACACAGCCTTCCATCCTTCCCAGGTTGGTAAAAATGAGGGCCCAGATTGAGGGCCATATGCTGACTCTATAAACCGATTAGAGAGTGCTGAAAGCACCGTGAAGCGGCATATAAGTCTAAGTGCTAGTGCTAGTGCTATCCTAGGGACGTCCCGCGGCACATCCCTCACGGGTCACTGAACCAAGCTTTACCATAACTCAACCAAGTTCTCGCCTGGACTACTGTAACACTCTCTACATGGCTGCATTCTTGAGGAACACCCGGAGGCTCCAACTGGTTCAGAATGTGGCCGCGCGGGTGATTATGGGAACGACTTGGTGCTCCCATGTAACACCTCTCCTGCGCGAGCTGCACTGGCTCCCAGTGGTCTTCCGGGTGCGCTTTAAGGTATTTGTTATCACCTTTAAAGGGCTCCATGGCTTAGGGCCAGGGTATTTACGAGATCGCCTTCTGCAACCGATAACCTCCCACCGGACAATACGCTTTCACAGAGAGGGCCACCTCAGGGTGCCATCGGTCAAGCAATGTCGGCTGGCGGCCCCCAGGGGGAGAGCCTTCTCTGTGGGGGCACCCGCCCTCTGGAATGAGCTCCCTCCCGGAATGCGACTGATCCTGGACCTCCGCACTTTCCGTAAGGCCCTGAAGACTTATTTATTCCACCAAGCCGGCCTAGCCTAAAAGGTCTTATGGGGGTCAGTGTTTTTAAATTGTATAGATGTGGGGTTTTAAATTGGGGCGGCCGTTTAATTTAATTTATTTTAGTTATTTTTAACTTTTATATTATATGTATCTTAATTCCGGCTGTCCACCACCCTGAGTCCTTCGGGAGAAGGGCGGTATATAAATTTAAATAAAATAAAATAAAATAAAATAAAATAAAATAAAATAAAATAATAAAATAAAATAAAATAAAATAAAATAAAATAAAATAAAATAAAATAAAATAAAATAAAATAAAATAATTAAATTAAATAAATAAATAAATAAATAAATAAATAAATAAATAAATAAAGTTAAAACCAGCTAACCACCTTCCAGCCAAACCGGCCTCTACCTACCCAGCAGCTGCCCTATAGAGGCATGCATTGCGTTAGTTAGGGCCACCCTGGCAATCACGCCCTTCATCTGGGCTCTCTGGTTCGGGGAACCAGGGTAAGGTGGCACGGAGCCTCCCAGGCCCTTTTTGCCTAGCTGGTCCCGGTTTCTCTTCTGGTGGGCTCCGGTGGCCTCCCATCCACCCCCCCCCCACGCCCCCATTCCCCTCCTGGTCTCCAGCCCGGGTTTTCTATGCAACGCCGCCTCCCAGCCATGCAAAGGGGAGGATTCCCCCCCCCCTCTCCTCTTCCCGGCTCAGCGAAAGCGGAGGGCTCCAGCCTCGGCAGCTGAAGGAGCGGCGGCGGCGGCGGCGGCGATGGGAAGTCCGAGCCGGGGAGCAAGCTCAGCAGCCCCGGGACCGGCGGCGTCCTCCGCTGCTCCTCCTTCTCTGGGCTTGCGCTCCGGAAGACTTCTCGGCGGCGCTCCGCAGAGGCCACGATGACTTGATTTCCTGGGGTGCCGCCGCCGCCGCCGCGCTGCCTCTCCCCTGGGGTCCCTCGCCCGGCTTTCCCCAGCGCATCCATCAACCGGGCATCCTTGGCTTGCGAGAGCCGCCGAGAACCGCGCCGCCCCGAGCGCTCCGGAGGGGGAGGAATGCGCGCCTGGCAGACGGAGCGCCATCCGGAGAGGGGCTGCCGGAGAGGGGAGAAGAAAGAAGCGAGGGGGGCCTCTTAAGCAGCACCTGCGCCCGCCCCCCCCACTCTCGTCTCCCCATCCACTCTCGCGTCTCCCAGCTGCTGCAACCTACAGACTTTCAAAAAAGAAGAAGAAGAAAAAAAACAAACAAAACGAGAACGGCGAAGAGCATCTCCTTCCAGCCTTTTTGCGCGCGCGCTCTCTCTCTCTTTCTTTCTCTCTCTCTCTCTCTCTTTCTCTCTCTCCCTTTCTCTTTTCTTTGACCGCTCGGTAGATTTCAACCCCCCCCTCCGGTCTTCTCTTTCATTTGTTCAGGTCTTTCTTTCTCTCTCTCTCCGTCCCCCCGTCTCCCCCATCTCTTTCTTTCTTTGCCAGCGTATTTTTTTTCCCTCTCTCCTCTTGCTTTGTCGCTTAAAGGACATCTCTCCAGCAGCGGCTTGGCGGGCTTTGTGCTTTGGCCCGGCATCCTCCTTGGGGGGGAGGGGGGGAGGAAAAAAAAAACCCCGTTCCTTACTTTCCTCTTCCCTCCCCCCCGCCCCCCCAGTCATAATAATTTAGAAGTTTGCAGATAACTCCTTCCCCTGTTGAGGAAACATTTTCTCTTTCTCTCTCTCTCTCTCTCTCTCTCTGCGTCCCTCCGCCAAGAAAGAAAGTTATCCTTTTTGAATTTCTATCCACGTCCTTTTTTTCCTCTTCTCTCTTTCTGCGTGCCTTTGCTCGGCTTTTTTCCGCCCCCCCTCCCCTTGCAGGGCTTAAAGAGAAAGCCCAGGAAAACGTGGCTGCGTCCCAGGGTTTCTCGAAGTCCACTCTTTTTAGTATTGAAAAAGGACCTGAAGTATTTATTCAGAATTCAGCAGCCTCCTCGTCCTCCTGCCGCCCTTCCCGCTCTCCTTTTTTTTTTTTCTTTCTTTCTTTCTTTTTTTTTTTTTTGCTACTCCGGGACTTTTGGAATTTCATCTGGATTATCCTCTGGCAAGCCGGTCAGACTGGAAGACACAGCGACAGATATTGGAGAATTTGGTCTTCTGCAGTGTGCAAGTCAGTTCCCAACAACCTCCCCTTCCTCCCCCAATTTAAGGGGGTGATTTGGTTTTTTCCAAAGACCAGTAGCCTCTAAGAAGGTCTGGAGGAGGTTGGCTACAGAGAAGAGCTTTCTGGGACTGGTTCCTTCTGTCTGCTGCAAAGGATGCTCCCTGTTTAACTTCCTTTCTGGCTCTTCCAGAGAGTCATGACAGTCTGGCTTCCCAGCCTTGCGAACCTTTATCTCTGGAGTGGGATCTCCAATTTAGTCTGCTTTTTCCCTTGCCTGCCACCTGCCAGCACTTGTCGCTTTAAATAACCTAACTGTGCAAACTGAGGGAGACTTGCCAAAGATGCAAGGATGGGGAAGGTGTCCTCGTCACCGTCAGCCTCTTCCTGAACGGGCTCCATCCCAAGCTTCCTTGCTCTTCTTCCAGTAATTGTCAAAGAAGAAGAAGAAGAAGCAGCAGCAGCAGCAGCTCCAGTTGCACGTGTCCCACATTGGGAAGTTCTTGATGGCTTCTCTAAGGAGAGTGAAAGTCTTGCTGATCTTAAACTTGATTGCCGTGGCTGGCTTTGTCCTCTTCTTGGCCAAGTGCAGGCCCATTGCGATGAAGAACGGAGATGCTTTCCATGAAATTCATCCCAGGGCAGAAGTGGCCAACCTGACAGCTCACCCAGCCAACCCCATTCAAGATGCAGTGCTGAAACGGTTGTCCCTTCTTGAGGACATTGTCTACCGGCAACTAAACGGTAGGTCTACTATTTCTCTTAAGGGGTCCGTTCCTCTAGTCGCTCTCTTGCAGTTCCAGCTGTTTTATTTTGGGTGGCTTTGTAAGAAACGACTGGATTGCATGTGATGAAGAATCTGGGTCAACAAGTCCTACAACTAGTGGCAAGAATGGAGAAGGTCTTGAAATCCATTGCTTACCTTTCCAGTTAGAAAGGGGAAAAAGAACGATATAAAATACTTTTTCCCTTGATAACTACTTTGATTTGATTTAAGGCAATGTCCAGTACATTTAAGATTGAGGCTTATTGGTTAACACATCTTACAGATAAAGGATATGAGGTAAGGAAGGGACTCTGAATCATTTGCTCATTTAGTGTGGATAATACAGAATTAGTATGATCAATCCTCTGAATAGATACAACAGCTTCTGTCTGGTTGAATTCCCACACCTGCCAAAGCTAGTTACTAAATTAACTTTTCTTTCAGGTGTGCACAATATATCGTAGCATTATATCACCGCATAGGCTAGGTTTGCACAATGCACTAAGATACACACATCCTTCCTGTCCTTTGATTTTAAAAATGCAACTAACGGATAATGTTTCATTGATCTAGTTAAAGTTGCCGTGTGAACGTGCTCTCTGAATTCAATGTGGTTGGTCTTATCTTGTAAGATCAGGCACTTTGCTGTCCTCCATGCACTCTGAAAGATATTTTAAAGTCTGAAATTTCAGAGTGTGAATTCCTGCACGTTGGCACCATCTGTTTTGGCAAGATGATGGTGGCTGCTTTTCATTGCACTTCTCCTGTGTGCTGCTTTTCGCACCTGGCTAACATTTGGTGGGGTCCTCTGTGCATACAATGATTCTGGTGTGTGTGTGTGTGCGCACTGTGGCATGGGGGAAAAATATCAGGATGTTGCCTGTTTTTCCCATGGAGCTTAAAAAAAGCATTTCTCTCCATCTTCAAAGCTCCCTATTTATTTCAATTGTTGCAAGCTTTTGGGATCCGGATACCCGAAAGTTAATAACTAGCCTTGATGTCATCTCTGGGTGAAAATAAGAGTAGGAAGAATCTGTTAGGAGGTAATGGCGTTCTGTCTCTTCAACCAAGTTGGAGATAAAGGAGAAGTTAGTTTGGAGGAGCCATTTACCTATAAACTCTTTCCTCCGCCCCGACTTTCAACATATTCAGGATATTGACTTGAGCGAAGCATATTTTAAAATGCTAAAGCTGCAGTCTGAGTGTGATGGGATTCAGCCTGAGTAAACAGACATTGTAATAAGCTGCAAGATTCTATGAGGTTGAATCACCCGAGTTTCCCATTAGCTGTGTTTACACAATTTGCTTAACCAAGTCAGGTAAAAATCTCATTGCTGCATTTGCATATCCAGCTCAGGTTGATCCGTTTGATTAATATTAAGCTTGTTTAAGGTTGCTTTGTGTGTGTGGGACAGAGAGCGAGTGAGCGAGCGAGAGATTTAATATGTTAGATGACCTTAACCTGTTTTGTCCTTTGGGTGAACCCCCAAAAAGGGCTAATCGGGGCAAATGTATTGTGAGAATGCAGCCATTAAATATGGAAGGTGTGCTTTGTCTAGAGCCACTTAGCACATCCTTCTGAGCTTGGAAATAAAATACAGCTAGGGAGTATTAAGATCAGTGGGGATGCCTTGAGTTGCTGTTTCTAAAACATTGGCCATGGAAAAACTGTACTTTTAGAACAGATCTCGCAGCCTCCAATTATCCTTGATTTGTGAAGCCCACAATTTATGGAGATTGTCAGCCATGCAGGTCACAGTTGTCCCAAAGATGCTTTTTTTCAAAAGGCAAATGGACTTTGTTTTCCCTTGAAGACGTTTTGCTTCTCATTCCCAAGAAGCTTCTTCAGTTCTGACTTCTTCAGTCAAAACTGAAGAAGCTTCTTGGATGAGAAGCGAAACGTCATCAATGAAAACCAAGAAAATCTAGCTGCTTTTTGACAAAGCACCTTTGGGACTCACAGAATTTGCTTTTGTTGTGATGCTAAAATTTGGCTATTAATGCTCACCCTTGTTAATTATCAAGTAGCACAACCCCTCTATCTTTTCACGCTTGCTTTTGCTATTTTAAGTTTAGAAGATGTAGACTTTGACTGTTCACAAACACACACGCACAAAACCACCCAAAATCCTAACCTTGGTCAATTTCATGATGCAGTCCTGTCTAGCTAGATGACTCGACCCTAACTATTGGAACTTGCTAATAAATGAATACATGGGGGCAAAAAACATTTTGCACCCAAAGGTGAGAGAGGTATTTTATGAGATGCAACTGTGGAGCCCTTCCAATTGTTGGAAGAAATATCCATCTGGTTCAGTTCCAAGCTGGGAGAAAGACACTGGAAACAAGGAGGCTGATTGGAAAGATGGTTTATCGATGAAGCAGAACCGCCAAGCACATGGTCCTGGGCAGCTGACCACCTGGAGTTGAGACAGAGGGCTATTTATACCCTCTCTTGGGCTTTGCACTTGAGCTTCCTGTTCCTGTGCAAGAACATGTATTCTATTGGCTATTGTCAGGCTCCCATGGTGCCATGTACAAATCCTAAGAGTTTGTCTGAGCTAAGTTTGGTTGATGTTTGGGCTCATGCAATGAAGGGGCTTATTGGGCAATTCCTATAGTGGCTAAGGGCTAACCCTATCTTTCTTCAGACCTTGCTGTAGGGAATTTGCTTATCAATAGAGCTTTTTTTCTCTTAAGTGCTGACATCTGCTATGAGCTATTAAGAAAGGTGGGGGATGCTTTCCAAGAGCATGCTTCTCCATTTCTCATTCAGGGAAATACAATATTCTGCCTTTTAAAAAATATTTCTCAAAATATTTCATTCTTCTAGGAGAGGGGTGGGTGCTAACTTTCTACACTATGAAAAAGGAACAGATAAACATTTCCCCAACCATCATAATCCCTGGTGCTGGTTAAATGACTTAGACTTAAGAAGTTGTTACAGCAATCCGATCCTAAACCCTTACAACCAAGCCACAACGAGGCACAAAAAAGTCTGCCATATTTACACCATGGACAATTGGATTTCTAGTGGTTGCAGAGGTGATATTTACTTACTTTCCCTACCAGTTCGCAAATGTGAGCTTGCACAATCCCCGTCCATGCATGCACCCCGGCATTCCGAGCATGTCCTTTTCTGGTGCATGCGCCTTCCGTGCATGCACCCGGCCTCAAAAATGTGCCTAAATAAGATAGCATAGAGTGATTTCTGCTACCGGTTCGGGTGAACCAGTCCGAACCGGCTGAATACCACCTAATGTGATCCACATTAGTCACAACATACCTTGGTTGTGAGGGTGGAGGATCAAATTGCTGTAACAACTTCTTAAAACATATAACCAGCACAGGGCATTGTGATTGCATTCAGCCAGACCAGTGGTGGGTTTCAAATTTTTTTTACAACCGGTTCTGTGGGTGTGGCTTGGTGGGCGTGGCTTTGTGGGCATGGCAGGGGAAGAATACTGTAAAACCTCCATTCCCTCCCCACTCCAGGGGAAGGATACTGTAAAATCTCCATTCCCACCCCACTCCAGGGGAAGGTTACTGCAAAATCCCCATTTCCTCCCAATCAGCTGGGACTTGGGAGGCAGAGAATAGATGGGGGCAGGGCCAGTCAGAATTTTTACTACCGGTTCTCTGAACTACTCACAATTTCCGTTACCGGTTCCCCAGAACTGGTCAGAACCTGCTGAAACCCACCTCTGACCCAGACCTTTGGCAAGGAAGAGTAAGACTCCCCTCACTTACTTCCTCATGCCTTATTTGTATTGACTTTATTGTAATCGCTTTGTTTGATTATTGTGGGGTGGCATCAAAGTTAAATTATTATTGGTTGGTCGCAAAGTCAGCTAGGCTGTATTTGGCATTTTTAGCCACCTCTGCAGTCCTTCCCAAGGACCTGAGATAGGCAAATATTGTCGTTTGATGGTATTAAAAGTGCTGCCACAAGTTGTAAACTGTTCCAAATAAAGTTGTGTTTTGCAATGGGCTCTTGGTGACTTGGTCGATCCCCAACAATGTTCAAATGGTGCTCCAAATATTTTGGGATTACACCGGAGGTGGGTTTCAGCAGATTCTGACCAGTTCTAGAGAACCGGTAGCAGAAATTTTGAGTCGTTCAGAGAACCGGTAGTAAAACTTCTGACTGGCCCCGCCCCCATCTATTCTCTGCCTCCCAAGTCCCAGCTGATCGGGAGGAAATGGAGATTTTACAGTAACCTTCCCCTGCCACGCCCACCAAGCCACACCACGCCCACCAAGCCACACCCACAGAACCGGTAGTAAAAAAATTTGAAACCCACCACTGATTGCACCCAAGGCATCCAATACTATTTGTACTAACCTTGCTTTTGTTTGCCACACTTTACTTCTATTTGCAGGGTTTGTGTTTTGTGATTTTACGTTGTGTGATTTTCTCCAGTTCTTTTCTGCTGTCTCCAGCTATTGCAATGTCCACCATCCAGGTTTTTTGTGTCTCTCATCTACAATGGTTACATCTGGGGTGCTGTGTGGCTAATGCTTGTCTGTTTAAATACTAAGGTCCCTGAGCATTTTAGCTTCTTCATTTTCTATTACAGGTAGTCCTCGACTTACAACAGTTTGTTTAGTGACCGTTCAAAGTTACAACAGCACTGAAAAATGTGACTTATGACCATTTTTTTCACACTTACGACCATCCCAGCATCCCCATGATCAAAATTCAGATGCTTGGCAACTGGTTCACATTTATGATGGTTGCATTGTCCCCTGGATCATGTGATCCCCCTTTGTGACCTTTTGACAAGCAAAATCAACGGGGAAGCCAGATTCACTTAAGAAACCGGGTTACTAACTTATCAGCTGCAGTGATTCGCTTAACCACGGTGGCAAGAAAAGTCATAAAATGGGGCAAAACTCACTTAATACATGTCTCACCTAACCATGGAAATGTTGGGCTCAATTGTGGTCGTAAATCGAGGATTACTTGTACATTGTC